GAAAAGGACACGCGCCCGGGTAGCTTATTCGATTAAAGAAGAAAAAAATGTTAATACGCGTACAGGGGGCTATAACTATAATAATATAATACAATACATAATACGTGATATATCTATAGCAAACCGTCCAAACCGAATTGGATACTGTGGCGTAAAACCGGAAGACTATAATATATTGTATATATAAGTAGGTACACAACACTCGCGTGCCTAGTCAATAGACATAGACATAAACAAAAACTACACCTGGCCAACCGGTAACCAGGTATACGAGTATATAACTTAGGTCCTGGCCCGGCCGTATGTGCAGGTAATAACGTAAACGGGTGGCTTCGTAAAATCGTAGGAACCGGTTTCACACTATACGCACACAAGAAATATAATTATTATTTCATACATATACCTATTGTAATATAAATAATAAACACGAGTGTATAGTATTCTTTTACAACACCTGGCCGCCGATGTCGTATTATTTTCTCAGATTACACATATGTTTTTTTTTTGAAAAATACCGTTTTTCTCGCATCAGCTGAGGGACATATGGTCTCTCGTACATCCTACTTTTATCGTGGTCGCCGGTAGTTCGTATATTATACATTATAACATACAGTATTATCATATAATAGTATAGTATAGCGTAACTCAAAATCCACGACTATACGCGATAGACTCGATACTGTGATACTTACGATTATAATAATGATATATTACCTAGACACACGAGAATTATCGGCTGACAGTCGAGTATGACGCGTGTGGTTTGCAATACATAGCAGGGGGAAAAATGAGGACGCGCGGTTTTTTGGTCCGAATTTGGAGTGTGCGCCGACGTTTTTAAAAATAGTGCACGCGAGGGTCGACGACACCGCGCCGCCCGTCGCCGACGGCCAGCGCCAATGAAAACACAACCGACTTGCGTTATATTCGTGTCTCCGTGAAAACTATATAATAAAATATTATTATTAAATGAGTTTAGGTATATTTCGACTGTACGCCGCATTATATATATTATGATATTACGCGTAGAATACAACGAGACAAAAATCGTTCGTTAAAAGACGGGTCGAATATTTTTGTTTTTTTTTTGGGCTGACCGATATGAGCATATTATTTTATAGAGCAGCCCGCGGCCGGTATAACGTCCTGCCTAAGACAGCCTGTGGATCGGCGTCCCCCCCCCCCCGAGTGGAATATTCACAAACCCGAGGGGGGTCCTCATTTGTATACACGCGCAGACGAGACACTCGAAGGACTTTGAACACGCACCTTTAGTATAAACGTATACAATAATTATAATATTATATTATTATGCCACTTATATAACCATCAAAACCTATATGCGTTTAAAAATAATAAAGAAGCAGGCATTGTGTTTCGAGTGGCCGTATATTATATTATCGTTGCGTACAAGCGCTCACTAATATCACTTGGTTTTATCAGCAGAATTAACGGATAATCATAATATTATCATGATTCATGTCTTATGGTATGGCCGTATGGACAGGTAAAACAGTTGGAAAGGAAATAACATCGCTACTAGGTAAGACAAAGATGAAAGAAGTGTTAAATAAATAAATAAATAATTTACTGCCGACAAATTATAAAGAAAAAAGATATGAATGAATGACTAAAAATAAAATATATCATGATGATATTGTTGATAACTAAATTTATAATAGTTATCCTTCTTTTAAAAAAGAAATTTGAAATATTTCACGAAAGGATTCAGTAAGGTATTTTAAAATTGCATAATAAAGTGCCTATTTAAAGGAATTTCAAAAGCCAATACTGTATGTTTATACACTATACAGACTCTTACGGATTTAACTCTCGTTTGAAAACTACGCATAGGTACCTGTATGACTGTACATACTATATATATATTATTATAATAGGATCGTCTAACGTGTTTAAATCATAATAATATTATTTTGACACGTCCGTCGGAGTTGTCGAATAATCGAACATTTTTCGAAACTGTTCGAAATATAAACACGGAAATGAAACTGTCAACTGTTTAATAATAATAAAAATAAAAAATCCAATACACGAAGAATCAAAATATTTTTTTTATTACTCGTTGGCAGCCATACAACATAACTACTCATAAGTCATAAGTAATGAAAAAACTTCGGAGTTCAAACATACGTACCTATAGACTATAATAAAAGTACCGAATGCCGATACGATCTAAATTGTTCCGGTGTCATTTTTATCAATAAGTTTTAAGTGTTTTCTTTTCAATTGTTATGTGAGTGTATACAGTATATCAAAGTGTGTAAGTTTGGGAAAATACTTTTTTTTATTAAAACTTCTTTGGAGATCAAATTTGAACATTCGGGAAAAAAATACCATACTGCATTTGCCTGCTCGTTTTTATTGCCCATTAAGGTTGGTAAAATTATCATTGAGGGGACACATAGAACAAATAAACGAAGGGTTGGAGAAGAAAAGATTTTTTGGATGTTGAGAAAGGGACCGTATTACCGTAATAAATGTTGTCAGCATTAATCATTAGGTATAGTAGCTAGTACTATACCTCTTAACTATAACTATCGAAGTGTAGAATCACAATACAGTAAGGTTACTAGATTTGTTTCTTAATGAAGTATAAAACCAAAGTTGATTTAACGTATTGGTATTTAGTAAGTACCTATAATAAAATATGGCATTTGTACCAAATGTCCATATATTTCCCATAGGATTTATACTTATCTATATGTATTTATATAAATAAATATATTTATAAATAAAGCTGAACTTTATTAAATAGATGACAAAGTAGATACAGTTTTTTTTTTAGTAAGTAATATACAATTTATATCAGTTGACACAATAAGCACATATGCTAAGAGAAAAAAAAATGAGTAAATTAACTGAAGGAAGAAGCCACAAAATGGAGACACTTTCAATAATTGAGGAGCTTAATATGCATGTTATAGTTAAGTAAAAGTCATGACACTACTTAGTACTTACGAAAGTAAATAAAGTTAATGATTCAAATATAACACAAAAAACTGCTAATGAATATTAAAATATATTATACAACAATGGACCATAAAATTCACAAATAAATATAATAAATATTATAAGTAGCTACAGGAATACCAATAGATATCTTAGTTCATTTTAAATGGTAATGTATGGAAATTGAACGACCGAGAAAAATAAATTAATATTTTTGAATACTTCAAAAATAAACTTTTACAGAGAACTGTAAAGATTTTCAGATAAGTTTTTAAACGTAATTTAAATGGCAGTAATAATTGTGTAAGATGAGCGAAAGTCACAAGATAAACCAATGTATTATTTATCATACAATTATTATATTTTGCAGAGATAATTTAGCTGAAAGTGAATTCAATTACGAAAATAATTTCAAAATACATCAAGTAATTGAAAAAAAATAATGCGAATACCTATATGTGCAATGAGATACCTAATAAAATATTATGTACAACAAAAGACGAGCCGTTTAAAATGGCTTAATTGTTTTAATGTTAATAAACAAAACTGTCCAAAATAATATTAGAATAATATTCATTCGTATACAGCTAGTATATACCTATTTAGTGGCTATTAATTTTACGAGTGAAAATTACCGGTATGTACTCGGGTATATAATTATTATGTTTAAACTATAATAATATTAATTAATTCATCTATTCGTCTGAAAGTGACATTTCGACGACCTGTCTTTGTTTATATAGGGACATTAGGAACAATATACATATATTAGAAAAGCTCACTCAACTCATCTATAACCAAACGAAATGCATCCTTGGCCATTAGCGTAAGTATAAACTACGAACAAGGCACGATATATGTTATTATATATTTGTATTATTACAGAAGGTACTCTCGTAAAAACCAAACGTGAACAGTGTCGTTCAAAAGAGACGTACTCATAGTGCTTTGGACAATTAATTTTTATAATTAACTACCAGACCAGATGTACTACACAGCCATCCAACTCCGAGCATAGGCTCTTTAGTCTCTATACCAATTATGTGCTCGCTGCTATAATGTGGACATTAAAAGTTAAAAGTTTAAAACATTTAGTATTATTCGTATGGACGCAGTAACTTTATTCAACCTATTCAATGCGACAGACAATATGCATCTTGCCGACATAATAATAATATGTTGCGAACATAATATTAATTTGTAGGTACCTATAGTAACATGATTTTCACGCTATTATATATATCACATCATCGATGAACACAAATAACATTCAGAAATAAAATATTATAATAATAATATGTAAGAGCAATAATACACACCTATAAGATCGCCAAAGAACTTTCAACGTGAGCGCGTGGCCGCGAGGGTAACCAGCTCAGGATACCGAGAAATAGCTAGGTATCTATCTGTATATTGTAACATTACACTTATAAGGTTCGTGATACTCCCCCCCCAGGACACTTGTTCGTTTTCTTGTAAACGAGTATCGTAAATTCGCCAGAGCTATCACGTATGATCGCGTGAAACAATAATAATATCGAATGTGAAACGAATCGTAGCGCGCGAACCTACCTATATCATTAAATTGCCATCTATTATTACTGTAACGCGGACCGTAAGAGCACAGGTTATATTATTATAGCAGTAAGTACGTAACATACTGTGCAAATCAACCGGAAAAAAAGCTAGGTCGTTTTTCCCGAGAATTATTGCAGTATAGTTTAGTGAACTCGTTAAAACAAATCGCGAGGTTTAGAGAAAACGAGACTCCAATTAATGTTTAATGTTCGTCCCGCGAGAATAAAATATAGCGAAAAAGTTTCGTCGCAAAACAGGGGCGGTTGGTGGTGAAACGCATGGGACATACCCGAGCTCTTGGGCGGGTGGGTATAATAATTACGTCCGGTTCAGGAACACACTGTAGGTCTGTAATCACTGTCACAATACGCCTAAATAAAAGGATTTCGCGTACAGGTGGGCTAGACGTGTCCGGCATAGGTATTATAAAATTTAATAAATAGGTATCTCACCGAAACTTCTGGTGGAAAAGAACTCGTCGGTGGTGAACCGGAACGGAGTGCTATGGCCTATGGTGAATTGTGGCGGATGCCACTCGATTGGAGAACGATGCCTGGCAGCAGTTGGTATAAACCGGGTCCGGAACCGAATATACCTAGGTATATATCACGGTAGATCTTTCGGATCCATAGTGCTCACCGGACGTAAAAAACGCGTACCGACAATATTACAATATTTTACACACGAACGACGTCGACTCGAACCACGACGGTGCCGGTACGAACGCACGACACGACTAAACATAATGCTGGAACGTTGGTCCACCACCTTCGGCGGCGGCGGACCCCGTACGGTGAGGCGTCGCCACCCATCGGTGCCCATCGGCGACTGCGGTCCGCGACTAGAGAGCGCCACACGTCTCGACCGGAAGATCGATTTTCGCAAGTGGATTTTCTTATTATTATTTTCTTCACTTTTCAACCTCGTTGGACACTGCCAGAGGGCACCGCGCGTACCACATAAGTGCAGCGACTCGGCCGGTTCGAGCTTTTCCTATAATATTATATCAATTGCCGGATAATATGAGTATAATACGGCAATATCATGGCAAATAAACAATAATGTCTACGAATGATCTGCAGTGACGATTGTGTCCAAAAACCACACTACTGGTGGTGCTCTCAAAAGATAAGCCGAGGTCAGGTCAAGTCGGATCAGATATGAAAAACTCGTTGTTCATGAAATCAAACAAAACCATTTAAAAATTATGAAGCAATAATTGATGTTGCAATATAATTTTAGGAACATCAAAAAAAAAACGGTAACAATATGATCTTATCTCAAATTTGTATACATATACATAAAATAACTGTGTAAAGGTAATTTGATAATTTGATTTTACAATGATGTGTGTTTTTATTTTTATTTTTTGTGTCCGTGTACACGATAAGTAGTCGAAATAATACTTCAGCTTCAGTATCTTGTTCGATGTGAAAGTGAATCTAATTGGTAGGGATGAGGTAAAAATTTAAAATTCCTAGAAGTTTTCAAACAAAAAAAAATTAGGAAATACTTGAATTTTTACTCAAGATCGGTTTTTGACAAAATCGATTTTGGTATTTGGTGTAACTCTAAAATAAATCACTGTAGACACATGCAATTTTCACTGAATATTTATATTGTCATTTTTCATTACAAAAAACTTTCAAAATATTTTGAGTTTTTTTACTTGTTTACGGACGTTTTAAGTTCCCAATTTTTTTTGGTTTGTTTTTACTATAAATGTCAATAAAATGTTATTCGTTGGGTCAATAAGCTTGAAAACTTAATAGAAGGCACCTAATATATTATTAGGTACAATGACAGTTGAAAAATATTGAAAATACAGTCTCAATTTTTTTTTTCTACGAAAGACATTTATAAAGACAGTTTTTTTACAGTTATTTTAAGTTGAAATTTGGATAAAATTAGATATTTATACGAAGAAAAACGATTTTAGTTTAGTGTTATATTTTTAAAATGTTATTTGTGGATAATTGTAACTTCTAAAGTATATTATTATATACATTATTACATAAATATGATAATAAACTAATAAAAATGATTTAACTTGACCAGCTACCGTGATAATAATAACAATATAAATATATAATATAAAATATCTTGGGCTGAGGTTTTTTTTATAAAATGATATTATATCGTTGAATTCAAATTTAACACCATCCATTTCAGTAACCCATTTGTAACCTATTGTACAGCAGAGTGACTTCCACGTTCGCACTTTTTTCTTTGATTGAAATTATAGTTAAAAATTGTATAGGTAGTAGATAATATAACATAATATATAGGTATATTGTTATAATGTAGTACACAGTTGCAGTGTTTTTTGTATTCATGAGTTAAATGGCATACCTCATTCATAAAATATTGAACAAATATCAGATTTGTTTTTAATAAAAGAGTTCCGAACACGTTGAGAGCGGCACAGCAGAGGTGAAGCCTAAGCTCAAAACGAATAATACGAACAGATTCGAGTTTTATTCTTCTGTTATAAAAATTTTCCGCTTATGTATACCTTTACAAATAAAAAACGATACCAGATAATATGTGATACAGAATTTATTCCGGAATAATAATAACAATAAGTGGGTCAGGCCATAACTATCCTATACAGTGTCCTGAGTACGTGTAAAAAATGTACAATCCATCGTCCGAACAAAACTTAATCCGGAGTTGCGATATTGTCCGTTTCGTGGAACAATTATATTTAAATACGGATTCGAAATATTGTGAAACGGAATAGATAACAAGCCATGTTGAGTATATATACCGACATAATATTATTATAATATCTCCAAGTTCCATACTTAATATCTTGCTTGTGCATTCGTACACTCGACGTGAAATAATAATCATAGATAATAATAGATCGTGTACATAGTAAATGGATTTAATAATATTGCACTTTGCACCTACATACGAGTGGAATATCGCTGAAGCTGTGCATATTGTGATAACTCATAAATTAAATCATAGTATTAATGATAACAATATTCTACTTTTAAATCATTATGTTTACCGTAATTTTAATTTGTTTATACAATATATTGATAATTATTATCTGTATCTTTATTTATTTTATTTCATTCATCATATAGGTAATTGTATGTTTATGTATGTGTAAGATACTACTATAGTACTATCATATTCACTGTTATGTATATACATTTTTTTTTTCAAACAAGTTTAATATTATTATAAGGTAGATTTAAAAAATAAGGTACTCGTTAGGTAGGTTATGCTACTTACCAAAAAACTGAAAAAAGTGTACGCCTGCAATATGCTACCTACTCTTACAGTCGTATACTCTTATATTATAAATTATAATATTATAGGTATGTGATTATAAAATTCATGTGACTTCGGTTATTATTAAGTTAAACGACATGACGTTATAACGGTCATACAAAACTATGGTAGCTAAATTATAGCTATTACACTTGTAAATGTCTGGTTAATTTCCGGTAAATATCCACCAGGGTTAGGTGTGTTAGGCAACAGATTTGTTAGACCATCAACTAAAAGAAGAATGGCTGTGGTCCATTAAAACACAACACGTCAATTTATTTGAAGTTTTCATGGATGACATAGGCAATATATAATAACAATATACGAGTAATATAACGTATTAAAATATTTGACAATGATGATAATCAGCAAAACATTAAGTAAATTTTAGTTTAATAAATTGTTATTAATTCGGACGGTAAACACCCGTAAAAATAATAATATGAGTAGGAAAATGTACATAAATTAATAACACATTTACTGAATACTTATATTACATCGTACTTTTAAATTATAATGTATAACCAATGGCTACTAAATATTACCATAGATTAAATAACACAGTGTTATATTTTAATTTCTGATATTACTCATGAGCCACAGAGTAGGTACCTAACGTGTTATATTTTCCCGAAAATCGCAATGTTTAGGTATATCATAATATAGTATTATACTATAAAAAATACTAAATGTGGATATTCTTTGAGAATAATATAATATACGTATTGGTCGTCACTCGTCAGTATACATTTAAGTTTCCGGTCGGAAGTAGCACGTGTTCGGCAACAAGGGTCATTGATATTTCATTCCAAATAGCTCGTGATAAAAATAGTCATATCCTTACCCGCGATTTTTTTTTTAAATTATAGTTTATTATTATGTATTTATATTACTATATACCATAATTTCATATGCATAAATGCATTACATATTTGAACAAAGTATGAAAAGTATTTTATATCAACAAAGTATGTATGTTTGTTGGTAATTATTATACAGATTGATTATTTCAACAGTAAACACTTAGAAACACAAATCATCTCAAAAAGTATTAACGTTTTTGAAACAAAAAAATCGTATTTATGATTTCAAGTAATAGTATTATGAAACAATATTTTTGACCAAAATTATATTTTTTAATAATATAATAAAGCGTAGGTACCTACTGCCATATAATGATAGTCTCAGTTTATTAAAATATTAAATACTTAATTTAAACCAGTAAGGATACAACAGGGATACTATAGTATAAACTGCATTACCTATTATACATATATACCTGATATATTATACTTTAAGACGCAAAAAGTATTTATAAAATTAAAACATTCAATTCCAAATAAATATAATTTTGGTATTTAGAAAATATTTAGTTAAAGATTCACACCTTACCAAACGAATATTTGTATGTGTTGTATTATGGTTCAGTGGTTCATAATAAATTATTTATAATATAGTAGATCTACTTAAATCCAAGAGATAAAAATACTATTCTGTGAATTTTTTATGAACATCACATAAAAGACTATTTTGAAATTGTTCTTTCATAAAAATGATGGAAACTATATAAATATAAAAAATACTTTTTGTAGCTACCTGTAGATAAAACGTGTATTTTTCTTGATGGTTGATCTCTTTACATACGAGTATGTTGGATACACCTACCTACCTTTTTATATTCTATATTATTGTAAATTATAATTTATAATATAATCTTTTGATTAAATTACTTTTTGCAAAATATATTACCTATACAAAAACAATTTTCTTTAGATTCATATAAAAAAATTTATACATTTTCTACTATGAATTATATTATGACGAGCAGATGTATTTGTAGGTATACATAGTATGCACTGTACGTATATTGTAGACGTATCATATATGGTACCTATTATTTTATATTGTCCAATTTATAACCTATATTTTTTTTTCATTTTCTGATATTGAAGTGAATTGGTAAGATATATCCAAATTATATTTAACTACTAAATCAGCATTAATCTAATTTAAATTAAAAATTACTAACTTCAAAATAAATTCCTAATAATAGAATTAAAGGCACCTTGGTTCACGAGAAATAAACAGTTTCATCTACCCATAGGTCACCCTACCTATCAACATGGAGTATGGACAACAAATCAATTATAAAAACTATAATAAAGTATATAATATAGTCGTACTCGTATATTATTATTGTAACATTGTAAATATACCTATGCTTAATAATAATTTAATACCGTTTATAATACCATATAAGATATTATATAGTTACATGAGTATGATGCCGATTTTTCCGGGTCGAGAATTGAGCATAATGTTGAGATAGTTAACTGATATTGTGAAATATATAGACAGAATTAATAATTAATAAATAATAATAATAATATGCTAATATACCAACGCCAAAGACTACGAAAAATGAATGATTCGTATCTATATTATACCTATTTCATATGTCTATAAAAGCTAATATAAGGATCATTAATTGTCTTATGGAGATTTTCTAATTAAAATTGAACATTGAACCAAAGTTAAACTAACTGACAGTCTCGCCAAACAAACCGCTGTCATCACGTTAATTAACTTTCAAAAGAAAAGCAATGAAAAAGAAAATGTATTTTGCTTATAGTATTATTATCAGCGGTGACACTATTTTAGTTAGTTAAATTAATGTATTATAATTTATCCCACTCTACTATATATAGTCTCTCTTTTTCAATTTCTCAATAAAATAAATTAATAATAATATGTTTGATATCTTGTGTTAGTAAAGAATCGTAAATTATTTAAGTTTTTAATAAAGTGCATACAAATTATTCGAAGGGGCTTTCGCAGCGATCGATTTGTATACCGTGGTAACTGAATAACTCAAAGTTCAAGGGGAACGAAATATAATTCACTATTCAGCTTAACGAGAAAAATTAAATTTCTAGAGTTTGAAGTGTTCTATTTTATGTTGAGACTTTGAGTTATCAATATTTGAACTTACACCGAAAGCTAATATAATATTACTATGGATGTTGATCATTATTTGTTAATATGTCTGTGGTCTGTCAAGTCAAAAATGAATATAAAATATACTATTGCTATAATGGGTATTATATTATTAATATGTAAGTGCATATATTCTATTTATTTAGTTGATTGTATTATTCATCTATCTTGAAAAATCCTATGAGAATCAAAGTCGACGAATCAACCATTGGTGGAAATCAGGAGGGAGGACGATTAGACTCCCTGCAAAAGTCTTTCAAACCGCTTTTACTGTACAACGAATGAAAAATAATTGCGATATTTTCTTATAGAAATATTAATGATTAATGATTAAATTTTTTTCAGAATTCTGAATTTGAAATTAATTTATGAAAAATATTGTTTTTCTTTTAAACGTGTTTGGTTATAGATAATTAGAATAATTAATTACCTATCCACCAATACCATGGTTTGCGAATCAATATTTTATTGGTCACAAATTATAGGTATAAATGGTATTATATTATTGGTTAAATTATCACTTATTTTATTCAGGTTCCTATTGCCCATTGTTTATTAGTATTCTTTACAATAAACCAACTTTTAAAAATATTCTCTTGCTTTAATTTTTTTTTTCACACAAACTAAATATTTTAAGAAAATACATTTCATGAAATTTTAAAACCCTGGATAAATTATTCAAAATTGGTTATGAAAAATTGAAGATTTATAATTTTCTATATGAACTTCTTGTGTAAACGACATCCACCTGAATTAGTTTTTAAAATAAGTTATGAAAACCGATTAATTCTCTTATGATGTATATCCTATAGCAGGGATGGGCAACTCAATGCTACTAGAGCGCCAATAGCGGGCAAGAGAACATCGAAAAAAAATCTGTTAACTATATACTCCTTATAAATAATATAATATAAACTATTATTAAGAGTTTAAGACATTTAATAGTTCAATATTAGATAAGAATAATTTATAACTACGTTTTACGATAAACATTACATCGATTTTTATAATTTTATAAATAAAGTAAAATAAAAAACAGAAAAGTCCTAACATTTTATATTTTTATAAAGTAATTTGAAATGTAGCAAGAGCCAGTTAAAAACGGTACTATGGCCGGATGCGGTGTAGGTTAGGGTATAGTGTAGGTACTTTTCTTTTAATATTTTATAGTTCTGTAAATCAATGATCTCCATTTGCATATTTTCTGGGACATCTTCAACTGATAATGAAAATCCAATTGAAAACAAATTAAAACATTTTTCATTAGCTTTGAAATCTAAGAACCTCGAATCAAACTGGATTTTTAAATCAGAAATTGCTTCTGCATATGCTTCCTTTGAAGTAACATTGTATTTTGACATACATGAGTTGTGTTATTTTTTTTTCTCTGGATTTCCATTTATTTGACGTTTTAAGCTTAAATTAAATTCATTCGATTGCAATGTAATATGTATCCATGATATAGATAGAATATTTTTTCCATTCAGAATCATTAAGTTGTTCAAATTATTTTCCTTTGCTTGCCACAAATTCAAAAAATTCGTTTTATAAATCAAAAACGTTTTTCAACACTTTTCCTATACTGAGCAACGGACATCTGTAAAATAGATTACATCGCCTTGTTCAGCGTCTATTTCAATTAGAAAATGTTTTAATTCTCTATGATTCAATGCTCTTGAGCTAATAAAATTTACTATTTTATAACAGCTTTAATAATAGTTTGAAAGCCATCAGATTTTTGAACATACATTTCTCGGTGGATAATGCAGTGATATTGCATCAGTTGCAAAGCACCACATGTACTCACTTATTTTTTAATTAGCGCTACGACTTTAACTTTTTCCAACCATTGGTGGGGCTCCACCTGTTATAACTTCAGAAAGGTTATTTAATTTGATGTAAAAACGGTTGAGTGTCGATTTTAATGCATTAAAAATCTTAAATTTTTTTGTTGTGCTATTCATTGGAAAAAGTGTGGTTAATTCTTCAGTGATATTAAAATTAGAATCAATACCCCGAACAAAAATTGCTAATTGAGCATCATCTGACAAATCTGAACTCTCGTCAAGGGCCAGCAAATGAAAAATAAATTTAGAAATGTGTTATTTTAGGGTACTCTCAATATAAGTTCCTAGATCTTCTATACACCTTGCTACAGTTACTCCTGATAAACTCAATTTGGAAAAAGTTGTTTTTGTGCTGGACATATAATTTCATAGGCCTAACAGGCAACAGCCAACATTTATACCTAGGTAGGAAGGTAGGTAATTTTATTTATCTTATCGCATATTTTATTATTATTTTTTCGACAGCCGTGGCTTATAGTCGTTATAATTCTATCGAAATAGAAAAGGTACATGCTAAATTTAAAATGTGATCTTGGGCCCCACATTACGACAAGGTGGGCAAGAAGCGGCCCACGGGCCGAGGGTTGAAGACCACTGCTTTAAGGGGGCTGCAACGTAGCATATTTTAAGGAGTACTATTTAGGCAATTCATGGGACATATAAATTAATATTGTACCTATGTGTGAGTAGTAAATGAACATTAGTGTGCGTAATCCGTTATTGTTTCCGAGAATCGCTGTACGTCGAGTCGGACAACCGCTCAGGAAGCAACTCTCACAAGCTCACGCACATGTCAATACATCGCGAAAAATGAAATATATTCTTGTTTGCATGGCTATAAAACTACTAAAAGTGGTAGTAAATTAATCATACTTCCCGAAGTTCGATTGTGATTTCGAAAAAATGGTTGAATTTATAATATTCTAGACTATACTTCTTAGGAATCACTTTTTTTTATTTAAAATCAGATGTGCCAAAAATAAATACAAATATAATGCAATTATTTCATAGGATTTCTAAAAAAAAAATGGTTATTTTAAGGGCATTTTAAATTGAAAATTGAAAATCGACTTCTCAAGAAGCCTAGACAACAAACATGTATAAAACATTTGGATCAGACATTCCGAAGTATGTGAACTTATCACTGCTTATTGGTCTAAAATGTATGAAAAGTTCGTGCTTTGCAACCCCCTTAAACGATTATTAAAAACAAAACATGTGTATGTATTTTCGACATCTTTAAATATATCTATAAAATAACCTTATGAAAAACTATGTATTATATAATCTAACCTGTTCTAGTATTTTTATTCTTATAAGAAACATTTATAAAAATGTTAACACAAATCAAACATTTTATAAGTCATAAAATAAAATATTTTTTTTTTTTTTTTACAGTATAAATTGAACAATATAACAATGCTATTTGATCATATAATTTTCTAGTTCAGTATACGTACATACATAAATATTTATCTCGCCTTTTGTTTATCTTATTGAATTTTTACACTTTGGATTATTTTGTTTATTCTGATACTTCAGCAGACGCTTGAAAAAGTTATGTTATCTACTCAACAGTGTGATGGTACTCTGTAATACAAACAATGTATTTTGACACGCGTTAGTTTTTCATTTTAATACACAATTTTTCGTTTTAATAGATATATATTATGTTGGTTTTGGAGCGAATAAACACAAAATTATAACTTATTTAGGTTTCATAAAGGTTATAATTAATTACGCAATTTTAAATTTAAATTAAATTATTCAATATAAAATAAGAAACTAAACTTTAATTTCATTTTACAAAACGATTTCGCAACTAGAGGTAGGGAAAATGCATACAATATGTACTTATACATACTCGTTAAAATAGTTGAAATTTCCGTGGTGTAAATACTCGTTGAATATGAAGTATGTGCATTCACAGTTTCTTTCAGTTAAAAGTATAAAGGTAATATTCACGATTACATAATAACCTTGTAAAACAGACTTCGTGCGAATATTCGTGTAATCTTGTATAATATCCTAAAATTTAATTAAGCCATACCAACCTGCCTAGTAGGTATTGGATTTGACTATTGGTGCAGAAATTATTCAAAGTTTGAAAATGTTATGCAAAACCATATTCATAATTATTATATTACAATATTAAATTCGACATGTAAATATTATTAATATACTGACAATGAGATACAGATTACTGATGATTAAATACGTACATCATAATACTATATAGGTACCTACCTACATGAGCCATCAAATTGCCATAACATAGAACTACACGCCAAATTGAATACTAAACCCTACAATTGGTTATTAAAGTTTTCAAATATGATCCAAAGAACAAGACGTTACAAACTTACAACTCTACACAATTTCCAAACTTCTTGTTAGGTATTTAATAAGTAATAATAAGTAGGTACCTTGAGACAATAATTATCAAATTTTTGATTCAAATGTTAACTTACCTATGCGAATATTGACAAAACCAATAAATTAAACATTATATAAGAATATTGTAAAAGAAATCTGACAAAAATATCCATTACTCACTTTTACTCGTTATAAGTTATTGGGTTCTACATTCATCAGGTTCACTTCACTTCTGTTTACACATAGGTACGTTCACTTCTCAGACACTCCTTTAAATATTATGGTCACTCTTGTGGTTATCATTTATCACTCTCTATTTTGTGTTAATATTATCATTATATTACTTCTACAGAATATACATTAATTTCCTTAGAAAATCTATGGTATATAGATATCGTATTTCGTCGTTATACGTAGGGTAGGCAGTTAATAACTCAAATTGAAATATTTAAATTAGTGTCAAAGGACCCTCTTCGCTCAGGATGTCATGATTTTGGTGATTATAAACATTTGTTTTAATAATAAAAAAACAACTACTATTTGAGATGCTATGCGGATTGGATAGCTCTCAATGGTTGGGTCCCCAATAATCACAAACCGAAGCATTGTAGGTTTTATTTTATTATTGCTAGGTCTTGAGATGGAGAAATAAAAATAAAGAGACAATAAATAATTGTAGACATTGATTTAAAACGGGAGGTAAATTTTTATTGACATTTAGTACCGAGAAACCTGAGTGGCATAAAACTAGGACTGAGAGAATACAAAATATTAGGATATAAATTACATATTATTGTACGGAAAAAAATAATTCCATTTACAAAAATTGTGTAACATAATAAAAATTGAAGGTATTGATAAAACTAATTAATATAGGTATAAGTATAAAAATATGACGTATAAAGTGCATTAGTAGGTATGCATCATTGATTAATGACAATGACAATTTTTTTTTACATGAAAAAAATGTATTAATATGCGATATAGAAATGGTATTATATACATAATATATAAAAAATAATAAATTGATAGTATATTAAATTTAAAACTGGGAAAATGAATATCATCAAATTAAATTGAGTTAAATATGTGTTTTATATTATCAAAGTAACAAAAAAAAATATCTATGTTAGAAGAATTACCAATTTCCATTAACATATTAGCCGGAGAAATAGTCGAATCATTGAGAATGTTTTGTAAGAAAAATGTATCTATGAATTTCCAGTGTGGTTAGTATTCACCTTGAAATACATTTTTTCTAATAAATATCTTAAATCTATACCCTATTATTAATCAAGATTATTTAATAAAAACATAAAATTAGTGTGTTTTGATTTTTAGGAAGTTATATTAAAAAATATCAAGAGTTCCGTCATAACTTGTATATGGATTCCTAGCTACTCTGCATGTATATATAAATACGTTCACCACAATGGTGCTAATAATACAAAAAAATCCTCGTGAGTTGGCCTCGGGTACACTTTTCATAATAATATGATATAACTTATAAGTTACCGGTCATTTGTACATTGTAGTGTTATTGTTTCATATAGCATAGGTCTCCACCAATATTTTGTCCTATAAGTGATCCCCCCGTGAGAGCGACTTGTTGGAGACTTACTCAACGATCGCGTGGGTAAAGATTTTCTATCAAAAAAACGCTTCACCGGTCACCTTTGACGACCGTCTAGGCGGGGAAAAGTGCCGAATTTCCTATATGCGTTATATTATATAATTTGAAAAGTCATCGCGTGGATTGTAACAATATGAAAGGACCAGGAAAAAGTTGTAACATTTTATAGAGGGCGTGAAATGTTTAAATAAGTATGTTTAATAGGGGTGCCAAGGAAAGTTAGCATGACACTGAAACCGGGGCCTAAAATTATGTGCAGTAACACACACTATAATATATTATGTGGCAGTGTCAAATACTAATAGAAAACAATAATAGCAAACTAAAGAGCACGCCCAAAACTTCTAATTTATACGCACACTATATTAGGTCTATTATTTTTTAAATATTTTGTTGTGTGGAATATTAGGGTGTGCTGCAGTAGCGACATTAGTGCATTTTAGGCACTGTGGTGGACAGTGATTATCGCCTCGACCTAGGAGTTAGGGAAATAAAAATGGATGTG